GGGGGGGGGCAGGACAGCGGGTGTCACCCCCACCGTGTCCCCGGGGTGTTGAGCCTCTCCCCAAGGTGGCACTGGGACAGCCGGTGCCCCCCATCGTGTCCCCGGGGGGGGTGTGTTGGGCCAGCGAGTGTCACCCCCACCGTGTCCCCGGGGGGGTGTTGGGACAGCGAGTGTCACCCCCACCGTGTCCCCGGGGTGTTGAGCCTCTCCCCGAGGTGGCACTGGGACAACCAGTGTCCACCCCCCATGGTGCCCTTGGCATGGCAGGTGTCCCTCTCTGGTGTCCCCAGGACATTCCCACGGTGGCCAGCGTTGCCCCAGGGCGGGAAGCCTTGCCCCACACGGTGCCCTGGGGGTGGCAGGTGTCCCCCGTGGCGCTCCCGTGGAGGGGACCGTCTCCCCCCCTCAGTGTCCCCAGGGGGGCAGGTGTCCCCCCCGCTGTGTCCCCGGGGCTGGCAGGGTGGCAATGCAGCAGGGTGGGGGCACGCGGGGGGCGCAGGGGACGTGCAGGGAGGGGGGCCGGGAGAGGTGAGGGGCTGACCAGTGACTCTGGCCGTGTCCCCCCAGTCCTTCCAGGGCAGCCATGGCCGTGCCTACCTGTTCAACTCCGTGTGAGTACTGGCGGACCCCAGGGACGGTGGCGGGGCAGGGGGGGGTCCCCGGGGGGCCCCGGGCTGGCTGCCGTGCCCGTGGGACACCCCGCTCTCGGCGCAGGGTGAACGTGGGCTGCGGCCCGGCTGAGCAGCGCCTGCTGCTGACGGGGCTGCACTCGGTGGCCGACATCTTCTGCCAGAGCTGCAAGACCACGCTGGGCTGGAAATACGTGAGTGCCCCTGCGCTGGCACCGCCATCCCCTGCGGGCACCGCCCGGGATCCCCAACCTCTGCCCTGGACACCCCTGGGCACCCCAAACCCACCCTGTGGGTGCTGCTCCAGACACCCCAAACCCCTTTTCTGGGTACCCCAAATGGGCACCCCCTGGCCACCCCAAACCTTCGCTGCGGACACCCCCGAGCCCTGGGGGAAGGCAGCACCCCGGGTGCCCCCGTCGGGGTGCGGGAGGCTGACACGGCCCCCCTGCCCCTTTCCCCAGGAACAGGCTTTCGAGAGCAGCCAGAAGTACAAGGAGGGGAAGTTCATCATCGAGATGTCGCACATGGTGAAGGAGAACGGCTGGGACTGACGCGGGGGCACGGCTGGGACTGGGGGGCACGCGGGGGCACGTTGGGGGGCTGGCACTGGGTGAACCCCTCCTTTGCACCTTCCCTGTGCCCCCCCCGGGTCGCGGTGCCCGTCCCCAGCCGCGGGGGCTGCGGGGCTTTTCTAGGGTAATAAAGGCTTTTTTTTTTTTTAGGAAGGTGCTGGGCGTCACCTGCCCCCGGTGCTGCCACCACCCCTGGCTCACCCTGGGGTGGCACCGGGCACAAAGCTGGGGACCCGCGGGCACACTGGCACAGAGTGGGGGTCCCTGAGAGCCCCTGTGTGCCCTCCCCCGCTCCCCCTTCCCACGCACAGGAGCAGTGAGGGGCTCGGAGCCTTTATTGGGACCCCGAGCTGGTGGGGAAACTGAGGCGCGGGAGGAGCAGGGACCCTCTGGTACCCTGGGGAACTGGGGCGAGGGAAGGGTGGGGAGATGGACAGGGAAAGCGGGGAGATGGAGGGGGAGGGGGGAAAGAGGGAGGGAGAACTGGAGGGAGAGAGGGAGGAAGCAGGGAGGGAGGGAGGGAAAGGAGAGGGAAGGATGGAGCTGGACGGTGGTTGGACGGGCAGAGGGAGGAAGGGAGGGGTGGAAGGAGGGACAAGGGATGGATGGAGGGAGAGAGGAAAGGGGTAAGGGAGAGAGAGAGGAAAGGGGTAAGAGAGAGAGGGAAGGAGGGACGGAGGGAGAGGAGAAGGCAGGGATGGAGGGAGGAGGGCGAGGAGGAGGCAGGAGGGAAGGACGGAGGGATGAGAGGAGGGAGGGCGGGGACAGGAGGGGCAGGGTCAGGGCCGGGGGTCGCTGAGGCGGCCCATGAAGACGGGCACCTCGCCGGCGTCGTGCCAGAGGACGAAGAGGAAGGGGCGCAGCGCCTCCAGCACCAGCGCCGAGCGCGCCACCGAGGTGGCCATGGCAGCCGCCGCCTCCACGCCGGCCTCGTCCAGCGCCAGCACCGCCCGGTGCCGCGCCTCGTCCACCGCGGCCGGGCCCTCCGCCAGCCCGCACAGCTCCGCGTCCAGGAACAGCCCGAAGTCTGCGGCACACGGGCTCACGGTCACCCCCGCGGGACACGGCGGCGAGGGGACACCGGAGACGGGAGGGGACACCGGAGGCAGGCACCCGGGGGCACAAGGGACCCGGAGAAAACCGGGGGTCAGGGACACAGGGGTGCGGGGACATCGGGGCACACGGGGACGCTGAGGATGGAGGAGACCCCAGAGGCACACCGGGGACACGAAGGGGTGCGGGGAACGCCAGGGAGAACGGGGATATTTGGGCCACTGGGGACCCGAGATAATATGGGGGATAATATAGGGGTGCTGGGGGCAGCAGGGCACAGCGGGGGCACTGAGGGACATGGGGGACACCAGGGGCACGGGGACACGGGGGAACCCAGGGGAAACCAAAGGTACATTGGGGACACCGGGGACACAGGACGCTGGGGACAGTGGGGACAGTGGGGAAAGGGACCTGCAGGGGAGGAGCCCGTGACATCCTGCAGGGAGCAATGTCACCCTCAGCTCATCCAGCCCTCGTGGTGACGTCGCAGGTGTCCTTACCCATGTCGTGGACCAGGGGCACCACGTCCAGGGCGAGGTCGAGGTGCATCCGGGGCAGGGCCAGCGCGGTGGCCCGAGGGGGCGTCTGGGCCGCCCGCCGCAGCAGGGCCAGGAAGGTGGGGGGGTCCAGTGACCGCTCCAGGGTCTCCAGCGCCCCCAGGGGCCCCCGCGGCAGCAGCACCACCAGGCTCAGCCCCTCGCTCAGCTCCAGCCTCCCCACCTGCCGGACAGATCCCTGACTCAGGGCCACGACCGGGACCCCACAGACCGGCACCCCCCAGTGCCACCAGTGAGGTCCCAGCCTGGCATCCCCCCAGCCCCGGGGGAGTGAGGTCATGGTTGGTGCCCCTTTCAGAGCCAGGGCACTGACATCAGCCTGGCATCCTCCCTGAGTGCCACAGGAATGATATCACAGCCTGGCATCCCTCCCTAGAGCCGCTGGAGTGACATCATGCCATTACCCACCCCTAGCAGTGACCCACCAGCCCCTCAGGCCGGGCAGTGACCCCACAGCCCTCACAGTGCCCGGCAGTGACCCCGCAGACCCCCACCCCTGTCCCAGAGGGGGTACCTGGACCTGCAGGCGGGAGTCGGTGAACGAGGCCACCGGGTACTTGGTGCTGGTCATGGTGGGCACCTCGACGGGGGGGCGCCCGGGGCGCAGGAAGGGCAGCGGCACCGTCTGCTCGGGGTCCAGGGGCGTGCGCCAGGAGGCTGCGGGGACACGGCACCGGGGCTGAGGGGCGGGGGACACCGGGGGGGGGACAGCGCGGGGCAGCCTCGGCCCCGCGGTCGATCCCCGGTGCGTCCCGGGTGGGCGCGGGCGGTCGCGGCGGTGGGGCCGTACCGCGCAGGTGGACGGCGCCGAGCAGCAGCAGGCGGGGCTGCGGGGGCAGCGCGGGCAGCAGGGCGGGCAGCAGCCCCTCGCTGGCCTCCCGCACCCAGGCGTTGATGCTCTGCAGGTCCAGGCTCTCGTTGCCGCTCAGGGGGCGCGGGCGGGCGCCGTAGAAGCGCAGGGAGTCGTTGAGGAAGCGGGGCCGGAGGCGCAGCTCTGCGTGGCAGGCACGGTGGGCGTCAACCCCGCGCCCACCCGGCGGCAGCGCCCCGCCGGCACCCGGCGCCCGCCTCACCTGGGTGGTGGAAGATCTGGGCGGCCGAGAAGAGGCCCGGCGAGCCGGCCAGCTGCTGCAGGGCGCCGTGCACGCAGCCCAGCCCCGGCGGGTACGCCAGGAGGGCGCCCAGCCGCTCGCGGGTCTCGCCACGGGCGCCTGCGGGCACAGGGGAAGCTCGGTGAGGTGCCCCGGGTGGGACAGCCCCGGGGCACACAGGCGGTGCCTACGGCAGTGCCGGTGCTCGCGGGCAGCCCCTCACCCAGCAGCAGGTGCGAGAGCCCCGTGGCGACGTTGATGGGGGAGAAGAGCAGGTTGGTGTCGGGCCGGGCGGCCTCGGCCATGTGCTGGTAGAAGCGGAGGGCGAAGGTGCCCAACGCCTCGGCCACGGCCGCCCGCTGCTCCCCCGTGGGCTCCCCGCAGGCCTCGGCCGGCTCCTCATCCCCGGGGCACGGCGGGGAGGTGGTGCCTGGGGGTCCCTGAGTGGTGCCAGGCGTGGGCACAGCCGTGGTCCCGTAGGCTGTGGTTCCCGGCTCCTCAGAGGCTCCCTCGGGTTCTGTGGGCTCGGGGGCATCCGTGGCCCAGTGAGGGCCATCCCAGCCAGGCAGCCCCTCGGGGTGGGCGTGGGGGGTGGGCATAGGCGGGACAGGTGCCCCCACGTCCTGTGGGGGGGCCGTGGCAGGATGGGGGGGCACTGGCGGTGTCGGGGGCTGTGTGAGCAGCTTCACTCCGCTGGGAGAGGCCTCTGGTGTGGGCACCTGGGTACAGGGATGCGGGTGAGGGGGGCACAGTGCACCCGGGTGGGCGGCTCAGACGAGGGGAGACAGAGGGGCATTGGGCACAGGGAGCCCGTGTTCCTGGGTCACACTTACCGGGCTCACAGTGGCCATGGCTGTGGCCACCAGCCACGCCAGGGGCAGCCAGAGTGTCATGGTGGGCATCCTGGTGGGAGGGCACAGGTCAAGGGCAGAATAGGTACCCTGCACCCCCACCCTGGCACCTGCATCCCCACTCCCTGCACTGCCTCTACCCCACCCCGTGAGCCCCCACCCACCCCGGGGTGCCCCCATTCTGCCCCCCGGGGGTCGGGAGGAGGCAGCGCCCCTGGCCCACCTGGGTACCCGGCGGGTCGGTCCCTGCGTGTCCAGCGGGCGCCGGGGGATCTGGCCGGCTCCGGCCCTGCCTGGTTAAAGATTAAGGAGGTTCCCGTAAATCAGCCGGGGGTGCGGGGGCAGCCGGGGGGGACGGACAGGGCGGTTCTGGGGGCAGCCGAGGGGGCGGCCCCGCGATCCGCTCTGCCCCCGTCAGGCACCCGCTGGACGGGGGGGCGGCGCTCCTGTCACCCGCCGCCACCGGGAGCCCCGGGTGACGGGTGTCCCCGGCCGTCCCAGAACCATCTGCCCGTCCCGGGGGTGCGGCCGGAGAACCTCGTCCCGCCCTCCCCGGGGCGTGATCCCCCGGAGCCCGTCCCCGTAGCACCGGGCACCGATCACCATGGCCGTGAGGATCGCCAAGGTGGGGGAACAGGGACAGCGGGGGTCCTTGTGTCCGCACCGGAGCTGGCGGTGCGGGGGTCCCGGTACCGGGGTGCGGGAGAAGCGGTGCTGGGGTGCCAGTGTTGGGGTGCAGGGGTCCGGGTACCGGGGTGCGGGAGAAGCGGTGCTGGGGTGTCAGTGCCAGTGCGGGAGAAGCGGTGCTGGGGGTGTCAGTGCCGGTGCGGGGGTCCCGGTACCGGGATGAGGGAGAAGCGGTGCTGGGGGTGTCAGTGCCGGTGCGGGGGTCCCGGTACCGGGATGCGGGGGAGGCAGTACCGGCGTGGAGGGTTTTCGGTGCCGGGGGTGCCAAACCCTCCCTGCGCACTCCGGTTTCGTTTCCCCGACGGGGACCGTTCCGCGTCAGGGCGTGGTCTGTAGTGGCCGCACCCAAGAGGCGCGTCCATGAAGGAGACCCCCCCCCCATAAGGGCGTATTCCATGGAAACCACCGCCCACAAAGGCGTGGTCCATGGGGAATCCCCGCCCATCGAGGTGTGTCCCACGTGCTGCCCCGCCCAGGACGAGCCTACGGAGGGGTGTTTTGGGGTGCAGCCCCGTCCCTGGAGGCGTGTCCCGGACGGCCCCAGTCACCCCTCACCCGTCCCGCAGGAGCTGGAGGAGGTGCGGAGCTGGAAGGGGGCCCGCGACGTGCGGCCGCTGGACCGGAACGTGCGGCGCTGGGAGGGGCTGCTGCTACCCGTGCGTGGCGAGGGGCACGGGGGCTGTGGGGGAGTCCTGGGCAGCGAGGGGCTGGGGGTGTGTGTGTGGGGTCCCCTGGGCGTGGGGGGTATAGGGGAACTACAGGGACACAGGGGCCTTGGAGGGGAGATGGGCCTATGAGGGCATGGGGGGTGTTGGGGGTAACCCTCAGGACCGGGGGTGTGGGGTGTCTCCTGGGGACACTGAGTGAGGGTCCCTATCAGGGCAGAATTGGGGAGGGTCCCTCTGGGGGCACTACTGGGGGACACCCTGGGGCCCTGGGCTGGGGACACTGGGGGGAGGTTCCCCTCCTGAGGGGCTGCTGGGCAGTGGGTGGTGAGGTTTCTCCACGGGAGGCACTGGGTATATCGGGGCTGGACAGGGATCCCCCCGATAGATGATGCTGTGGCCTGGGGGGCTGAGGTGCCCCCCCTACCCCGGCAGAACACCCCCCCGTACAACGCGGGTGCCTTCCGCTTCGAGCTGACCTTCTCCCCGTACCACCCGCTGGAGCCCCCCCGTGCCACCCTCCGCACCCCCATCTACCATCCCGGTGTGGACCCCGAGGGTCGCGTCTGCCAGCCCCTCACCACCCACGAGCACTGGGCACCCACCACCCGCGCCGTCCAAGGTGGGCACCGGGGGGACGGGAAGCGCAGCACTGGGGGTTCCTCCCTGACCCCCCTCCGTTCCCGCAGTGCTGCAGGACCTGCTGCTGCTGCTGGACAGCCCCGACACCCAGCGGGTGCTGCGGCCGGACCTGGCCCGGGAGCTGCAGGAGCACCCCGAGGAGTTCCGGCGCCGGGCACAGGAACACACCCGGCTCCACGCCGAGCCGCGCCCCGAGCCCCCCGGCCCCTGAGCCCCCCACCCGGGGGCACCTCGGCTTCCCCTCTCCTTCCCTATGCCAGCCGGGGCTGGCCCTGGCATCACCCCTGCCTCGGTGCTGGACCTTGGGCATCGGGGGCCCCTCTGGCACCGTGAAGGGGGTCCTGCCCCCCCACAAGAGCTGGCCCCCCACAAGATCTGCCCCCCCCCGTTCGTAAGGCAATAAATTTGCTCCAGCACCTGCTCTGGCTCCGTGATACCTCACGGGGAGGATGGGGGGCTCCGGGAGGTGCTGCCCCCCGTGTGCCAGCCCTGGGGGGACTGTCACCCTGCCGGTGGCAGAGCCAGGCCTGTGCCCCCACAGACACTCAGTGCCAGCGCCCCCGTGCCCACATCCCCCCCTCCAGATATGAGGCCACCACTGCCTGGCACCGTGGCCTTTAGTGCTGGGGGACAAGGCAGAGGGACAAGGTTGGGGGTGGCACGGGTGGGGGGACCCCCTCAGCGCTTCTTGGTCTTCACGAGCCCCTTGGCCACCAGGCAGCGGTACAGCTCCTGCACGTACGTGTACACACACTTGGCGTCGGGCACCGGCAGCCGCACCATGTCCTCCACCTCCAGCAGCGGGGCACAGCCCGCCCGCTCCCTGCGGGGAGGGACACGCCCGTCACCGGGGCCGGGGAGGGGCCCGGGAAGGGCCGGAGTGGGCTCGGGGAGGGCCGGGGCTGCGCTCACGCACTCGGCGGTGGCGAAGGCCAGGGCGAAGTTGTGCCGGCGGGCGTCGGGCTCGAGGGCACCGAAGTCGAAGGCGTCGGGGAAGAAGCTGTGCAGGAGCGCGCAGAAGGCCAGGCCGCTGCCCCAGCTCCCGGAGAAGTTCTGCACGTCCACGTTCTGCGCGGGCGGGGGGGTCAGGCCGCCCCCCCCGGGTCCTCCCCAGCCTCCCCCCCCCCCGCCACCCCTCGCCCGAGCTCACCGGGTACCCGCGGGTGCGGGAGCGGCACCACTCCAGCAGCATCGTCTTGACCGTGGCGGCCCCGCCCGACCGCCGCAGGTGCGGGGCCGGCCCCGTGGCGGCGCTGGGGGGACCCGGGACGTGGGACCCTCACACCCCCCTGCCCCCCGTAGGGACCCCCAGCCCCACCATGACCCCTCTGCCCCAGGACCTTGGGCCCTCAATACCCCACTGCCCCATGGACCCCCATGGCCACATTGCCCCCCTGTCCCACATCCACCCCGCTCTATGCACCCCCCCATTCCCTCCCTACCCTCCATTTCCTCATGCCCCCCTCAATACCCACACTGTCCCACAGACCCCCACATCCCCCATGAACCCACTGTGACATTACCCTGAGCCCCTCAATAACCCCCTGTCCCATGCCACCCTACTGTTCCCCAATAACCCCCTGTCCCATGCCCCTCCACTGTTCCCCAATACCCCCCCGTTCCATGCCCCCCCACTGTCACCCAATACCCCCACAGTCCCATCCCCCCCTCCATTGTCCCCCAATTCCCCCCAGCCTTCCATCGCCCTGTGGTCCCCAAATACCACCACAGCTCCATGCACCCACCCACCCCACTGTCCCACAGCCCCCCCGGTCCCCCCTACCCTCCAGTCCCCCAATGCCCCCCCATTTTCCCATGTCCCCCCCGCGGGGCCAGGCCCTCCTCACCCTCCAAACTTTTCCAGGATGGCACTGCGTCCATACGCCCGGGACCCCACACGTGGCCTCCCCCCGGCCCCTTCCAGCCTCGGTCTCTGTCCTGCCGAACCAGGGGGTGCCCGGCCCCGCGGCCCCCCTGCTGGAGCACCCCTGTGGGCACACGGGGGACCCGCGGGTGGGCTGAGGCACCACGGCGGGTGCCACTCACGGGGGGGTACAGCCCTGAGCGTGGGGCTGTGGGATGCCACCTGTGGGGTGGGGTATCGGGGTGCCACCTGTGGGGACACTCACCTCTTGCCACCCTCTGTGCCATCGGTGGTGCCAGCTGCAAGGAGAGAGGAGGGGTTAGAGGAGGGATGGGAGGGGGCACCCAAATGCTGGGGCACCCCTGGGGCTCAAGGTCCTTCCCCGTGGGGAGGGGACATGGGGTTCCTACAGAGGACCCCATGGGGGCAAAGGACACTCTGTGTGGGACAGAGGTGACCCCAGGGCACTCAGGTGCCATTGCCTGCATGGCTCTTACCTGTGGGGGACGTGGGGGATGCTGGGGACGTGGGGGATGTGGGGGACACAGGGGAGGTGGGGGACACAGGGGAGGTGGGGGATGTGGGGCTGGTGGCCCCCTCTGGGGACGAGCACGGGGGAAACTCAGGCCACAGCTCCTCGTCCTCGTCCTGATGCCAAGTGGGCTCCTGTGGGCACAGCAGGGGTGGCAGTGCCAGCGCGGGCACTGTCACTTACACAATGTCCCTGGCACTGTCACCCTGCTCCTGACACTGTCACCCCGCCCCTGACACTGTCACCCCGCCCCGGTGAAGTCACCCCTGTCCCCCTCCCTACCGCACCTGCCCTCCCCTGGCTGTGTCCCTACCCCCCCTCGTGCCCCCCCCCCTGCCTCACCTGCCGGCCCCGGGTGCTGCCCGCTGCTGCCGGCACCGGTTCGCCCCCGGCACCCCCCTCGGTGTCCCCGGCTGTCCCTGCCCCGGCATCGCCCTCGCCATCCCCGGTCTCCCCGGCATCGCCCCTGGCACCCCTGGGTGCTTCTGTCCCGCCATCCCCGGCAGCCTCTCCCCCCGCGCACCCCTCTGAGCCCCCCGTGTCCTCCCCGTCACCCTCCGGGTCTCTCCCATCGCCCTCCGCTCCGCGGGGTTCCCCCGCACCCTGCGGGGCTGTCGCCTCCCCGCTGCCCGCCGCCGGCCCCTCGGGGGGGTCAGGAGGGGTGTCCGGGGTGGGACTACCGTGGGTGGGGGTGCCAGGGGTCGAGGTGTCCGGGGAGGGCGTGCCAGGGGTGGGGGTGCCGGGGGTGGGGGTGCCCGGGGTGGGGGTGCCCGGGGTGGGGGTTTTCGAAGTGGGGGTGTCCGA